TTTCCTTTCCATCTCTGAATCATTTTTTTTTTTTTTTCTATGATGATCAAAAATTGTACATTGTTGTAGAAAGTAAACGATCGCATCGGTGTACTCGTGTCTCATCCAATTGTGGGGGAAAATAGTGTCGGAAAACGGACGATGATGAGGAGAAAGAAATGAAAAGAAGAGAAAAAAAAAAAAGAGAGAGAAAGAGAAATGAAAATTTCTCCTGTACTGTATTTGATGAATCCCCACGATTCGGACGAAAATGAACCACCGACCATCGTTGCGATCCCCTCCCCTTCTTCTTCGTTTCTTTCTTTCCGGACGCGTTTCCATCGCAATTGCATCTCTCTCTCTATTGAATTTTTTTTTTTTTGACCTCTCTCTTCTCTCCTTCTCTCGTCGATATATTAGGGGAGTAGCATGTGCACTAACTCTTCTCTTCGAAAACTTGTACATAGAAACACGTCTTTTTTATCGCTTGTGCGTCGAAAGGAACAGACACCGCCATATAGAAGAGAGAAAAAAAAAAAAGAAAAGTGTGGATCACACGCTCTACGATTGTGTTATTTTTTTTCTCTCTTCTTCTTTCCTTGTTTTTTTATTTTTCTTTTTTTCTTTTCTCGAAAATAAATCGAAGAAATACGAATAATATATATATATATATATATATGTATATGTATAATATACATATACATATATATATATATATATAATTCTGTTTCTTTCGTCACGCACAAATACCGCTCCTTCTTCGTATGCGAAATTCATAGCTAGCTGCTTGGGGCTCGAACGTAGGGATACGAGACAAACGTGCATTATTATTCTCTCCTCCCTTGACAATATATAATATAATCCAATACGATCCATTTCGATCGCGTGGAGTGGTGGTCGAGCTCGAGAACGAATCGTGTACCGATCGAGGCAGCCGAAATAATACTATATACCGATCGGGTCGAACGATTCCTTCACGAATCTTCGTCGAACAAAACGCGATCGCTTTTCAGGAAACCGGCGAAAATGATCTTTCGCTTCGAACAGCTGGTAATTTTTCAATTTTTCTCTTTTTAAATTTTGGCCAGACAGAGGGAAAGAGGGAAAGGAAAAATAAAAAAAAAAGAGATCAGAGAAATGCAAAAGAAGAGAAAGCGAATAGAAGATACGATGATCTTTATCCAGTGTATATATATGTGTGTATATACATATATACACACATATATATATATATATACATATATCGCTGTTCGTCAGCTGAAGACCGCTTTCGCACGCGCTTAGGCATAGCACAGCCTAAGATCACAGTTCGAAACGATCGCGTTCTCGATCGGCTTTGTGTCGATGGCCAGCGTTTAAGCTTAACAACCGCAAGAGTCGCGCATTGCGATTGATATACAATATATATATATATCGACAAAACAGTAACGGAGAGGCCGATCGACGCTCGGTCGATCCATCTCCGTGAGAACGGACGAACACGCACGAGCGAGCGAATGAAAAATCGAACGATCGCATCCCAGGATT